GAATTTTTTTAATTCCTGTAAAGTTTTTTTAATAATTGGCTAATTTTAATATACTTGGGAGCTATTAAAACTTGTCTGCTATCTGCTATTACTTTAGGTTCTTGATCGCTTCAGTAGAATCCTTAACACATAACGATATGTGTCTTTTTCCTGGGGCATCTGTTAATAATTCCTGTAGCAGAAACAAATCATATTAAATGGCCAATAAAAAGAAATACGTGCTGCATTGCACTGAATCAAAAATAAAGATTAAGCTCTTGATAAGTCAAGAAATGGATGCAGAAGTGTATACATAATACCAGGACGTGACGGAAACTTCCAGAAGGTAGAAAAACAAATGATTTTAGGGCAAGCTGCCTGGGCCTGGGGTGGGGATGGGGCACCGCTGTGTCCATCCTTGGCCCTTCCTTACTGTTTGACATGTGGGCCTGCGCATGTAGCACTTTGATAAAATTTTTAAAATAACAAAAAATTAAACTCCAGTCAAATATAAAATTAGTTTTCATTTTAAGTGGATTTAAAGATTAAACACTAACTTCTCCAGCCACTGAGAGGACTGATCAAAGGCGTTTGTACTTGTACAGTAAGAATTGAGTGGTCAGGTCTGTGAGGAAGCCCAGGACTGAAGCCCCCGGATCTCAAATTCAAGTGCGGGATGCTCCTTTTCCAAGAAATCAGAGGTGGCGCCGCGGCGCCCTCTGCTGGACACGCGTGCGCGCTGCGCCTTCAGTCCTGACTCCTGGGCATCAACCTCCCCAAGTGGCCTTGGGGGCGGGTGGTGGTTTCCTTACCTTCGTCACCTTCAGATGTTTACCTCACATTTCAGTTTTAAAACACAGTGAACACCTTGGGAGGCTCCACTCTGCACTAAATTAATTTTCTGTGTCAGTGGGCCGGTTCAGACGCTATTTAATAGCTGTGGGTTTTTGAGGATGGTCTTGGGCAGCAAATCTTAATTTGTATTCTTTCCCGCAATACTCATAACTCCATGATTTTTGCCATAAATCAGTCTTAAATATGCCCGGCAAATCTCTGGGTGTCCTCAGGACTCTGTCAGGGGCTCTGCGGGGTCAAAGCTGTTTTCACAAGAATACTAAGCCGTTAGTTGCTATTTTCCCCGTGGTGATGTTTATACTGATGGTGTAAAGTCAGCTGGGCGCTAACCAAGGCAGCGCCATCAGACTCTCCTAGAAGTCACTGTATCCTTCACCATCGTGCGCTCACGGGAGAAAAGAGAAATAGCAAATACCAGTTTCACTTTAAAATGTCCTTGATGAAGCAGTAACAATTATTAATTTTACTAAATCTCAGTCCTTGAGTATACATCTTTTTAATATTCTGTGTGAGAAAAGGCTCTTCTGCTGCGTGCCAAAGTACGATGGCTGTCTCGAGGAAAAGCCCCTGTGCAAACGAGTTCTGAGCAGAACTAGCCACTTTTGTCATGAAACGCTATTCTTTCTTGAAAGAATAACAGGCAAATTATGATCATTCAGACCCGGAGATTTGGCAGATATTTTCTCAAAAATGGATGGTGTGAGCCTGACGTATCCAGGAAAACAATGAGCGATTTTGTTTCCAACACGTTTTCAATCAGAAAAGAAAGAATTTTGAAAAACTGGTATCTTTCCTATGAGATTGATAGTGATATTAACAAATGTGATGTTTCAAGGCTGTATTATGAAGTGTGTCAACATTTGGAAGCTCTGAAAACTCAATGAACCAATATTTTCCAAGTGACCAGTGCACCATGTTACAGACCATGCATGTGGGGGAAAGATCCATTCAAACTGTGAGAGAGGCTAATGGATTTTTCAATTAATTGTATATTTTTTATTGAGGTAAAATTCACATGACATAAAAGTCACCATTGTAACCATTTAAAAGTGTACAATTCAATGGCATTTAGTACATTCACAATGTTGTGCAACCATTACCCTTTCTAGTCCCAGAACATTCCATCACCCAAAAGGAAACCCTGTACCAGTTAGGAGTCACCCCCCATTCCCTCCTCCTCCAGCTTCTGCAACTAACCCACTTTCTGTCTGTGGATTTGCCTGTTCTGGACATTTCACATCAATGGAATCACACACTCTGTGGTCTTTTGTGTCTGCTTCTCTCACTGAGCATCATGTTTTCAAGGTCCATCCACATTGGAGTGTGTGTCAGGGCTTCACTCCTTTTCATGGATGAATAATACTCCATTGTGTGGGTAGACCACATTTTGTTGATTCGTTTTTCTGTGATTGACATTGGAATTTTTCTGCTTTTTTGCCTTTATGATTCATGCTGCTGTGGACATTTCTGTGCTAGTTTTTGTGTGAACACCAGTTTTCACTTATCTTGGATATCTACTTAGGATTGTGAGTACTATGTCGTATGGTTTAACTAGGTTTATGTTTAACTTTTTGAGGAACTGCCAAACTGTTTTCATCAGTGGCTGCACCATTTGACATTCCCACCAGCAGTGTATGAGGGTTCCAGTTTCTCCACATCCTCGCCAACACTTGTTATTATTTTTTCTTTCTTTCTTTTTTTATGGCTGTCCTACTGGGTGTGAAGTGGTGTCTCATTGTGGTTTTGGTCTGTATTTCCCTAATGACTAATGATGTTGAGCATCTTTTCATGTGCTTGTTGGAGACAAGGTTCTTCAAATCCTTTGCCCATTTTTTAATTGGGTCATTTGTCATTTTGTTGTTGAATTGCGAGAGTTCTTTATATATTCTGGAAATAAGACCTTTATCAGATATATGATTTGCAAATGTGTTCGCACATTCTGTGCATTGTCTTTTCACTCTCTTGATAGTGTCCTTTGATGCACAAAGTTTTTAATTTAGATGAAGTCCAATTTATCTTTTAAAAAATGTTTTATCTTTTATTTTGTTGTTTGTGCTTTTGGTGTCATATCTAAGAATCCGTTGCCAAATCCAAGGGCATGAAGATAATCTCATTTTACATGATTACCTCATGTTTTCCTTTAAGAGTTTTATAGTTTTAGCTCTTACATTTAGTTCTTTGATCTGTCTTGAGTTGATTTTTGTATATGGTGTGAGGTAGGGATCCAGCTTCATTCTTTTACATGTGACTATCCAGCTACCCCAGCATCGTTGGCTGAAAAGTTTATTCTTTCTCCATTGAATGGCCTTGACACCCTTGTCAGAAATCAGTTGGCCATAGATGTATGGGATTATTTCTGGACTCAGTTCTATTCCACTGATTTACATACATCTAGTTGTGTATCCTTATCCCGGTACTGCACTGTTTTGGTTACTGTAACTTTGTAGTAAGTTTTGAAATCAGGGAGTGTGAGTCTTCCAACTTTGTTCTTCTTTCTTAAGATTGTTTGGGCTATTTGGGGTCCCTTGCAATGCCATGTGAATTTTATGATCAACTTGTCCATTTCTGAAAAAGCTGTTGGAAGTTTAATAGAGAATTCTGATAGGACTGTGTGGAGTCTGTCGATCAATTTGGAGAGTATTGCCATCTTCACAATATAAAGTCTTCCAATCCATAAACATGGGATGTCTTTCTGTTTGTTTAGGACTTTAATTTCTTTCCACGGTGTTTTATAGTTTTCAGTGTACAAGTATCCCACCTCCTAGGGATTTTATTCTCTTTGATGCTATTGTACATGGGATTGTTTACTTAATGTCGTTTTCACATTGTTTGATGTTTAGAAATATAACTGATTTTTATATGTTGGTCTTGTATTCTGCAACTTTATTGAAGTTGTCCATGAACACTAACAGATTTTTTGTGGATCCTTCAGGATCATGTTGTCTGCAAATACAGGTGGTTTTACTTCCTCCTTTCCAATTTGGGTGCCTTTTATTTCTTACTGTTGCCTAATTGTCCTGGCTAGAATTTCCAGTACCGTGTTGAATAGAAGGGGCAAGAGTGGACATACACACGAGTGGCAGAGAGGTGATGGGTGAAGCTGTAACCCTCTCATTCCTGAACTCAGCCCTGGGAACCCGGTCCAGCTGCACTTTCTAGAATACACATTCAACCTGCTTTTTCCAGAAGCGTCACTGAAGTCTTTGCCTTCCTGGGTGTTTGAGGAAAGACAGCATATGTTTTAGGTTCATTTCCTTCCACTGTAGCCCTCTGCCTGTCATGGTGGGCTGCCGCAGAGCCTAAATGTCCATTTTCCACTTACAAGTTGAGGTCAAATTCAACATGTATAAATGTGGTGGTAGCCACGCGTAGCTGGGTGTTTCCCCCTTTGCGTAGATCTGCCACATCCCCTCAGCTCCTTGCCTCCATGAGGTCCTTAGAACCCAACTCAGAAGCCCCTTCCCCGAGGAAGGCCTCCGTGTTTGCTCCACGTGACTGTCCCCTGTGACTCCATTCTCATTTCCATATAACCCTCTTTGCACAGCTCACGCTTCATAAACATTCAGGAGTTTATCTCTGTGACGTGTCCAGTGGCCCCAGGGTCCCAAACCTCCTGATGGCAAGGCCGGGGTCTCTGGCCTCAGTGGTATTTTCCGGAAGCCTCCAGCTGGGAGACCCTGGGCTTTGTGATGGGGCAAGCTGGCCTGGAAGTCAGTGCCACCAACAGTCCTTGGGATCTGTCGGGCGTCTGATTCTCCCTAGCAACAGATGACGGGTGTAGGGGAGCAGCGGGCCATTAGGATGCTGGCTTTGCTTACACTTGAACTTACGCAGCGACTAAGTGCCCACGTTATGCATGTGCACATGCAGATGTTGTGTTAAAATTCAATGGCCAGTGTCGCCAGCGTAACTTCACTCTGCTGCTCGTGTGTGACAGGCTCCTGGGCTCTCTGTGTGTCACAAAGTAACACTCCTGCCCGCAGCTCTGACTCACGCCTTAACCCATCTCCCCTGCCTGCCTTGAACCTCATTTTGATTTTGTAGGCGCTCAAATCATTATTTGGATATTAATAAAACCAGATCTTGGCTGATGCTAACCATCTGATTTCCTTTTTTTTTTTTTTTTCCATTTTGTTTTGTTCTGTTTCTGCACACATTTTCTTTAGCTTGAAATGGCGATTGAAAATCTCCAAAAAACCGAAGGGATTACTTCACACAAAAGCGGTTTACTCAACAGCCATGTAAGTGTGTGTCGCCCGGGTGGTCTGCCCTGCTGTGCTCGCAACCTTCACAGGCATCTTAAAACCAAACAGGGACAGGGAAGTGACACCTTGAGAGGGCTGAAAGTGGGAGGGGAAAAAAGCCAACCTAGAGTTCTCCCTCCAGCAAAACTATCCTTCCACACAAAGGGGAGAGGAAAACAGGTTCTTCATTCGTAAAGGTAGATAATCATAGAGGCTGTCTCTTCCGGGGTGTTATGAGGATCAAATTATTTAAGATACAACGCATAATTCCAACAATGCCTGGCAGATAATAAGCAGTATAAATAAAATTCATACTAAAATAAGCAATGCTAACAAAAAAGCGAGACAGGATTGGGGAGGCCATAAAGATTCTTAGGTAATTTTCCAGTGATCGGCTCTTTGAAAAAAAATGATAATTTGAAAAAAGTGCGAAGCAACTGATTCCTGCTAATTTTAGCTGAGTAAGATCTTTCTGCTTCACTTACCTCTTGAGGAAAACTCTGATTGTAGGTCCTGTACCAGGAGATGGCAAACGTCGTGTCTCTGGGAAGCTTCATGGGGCAGAATGGGACAGAGGAGGGGACCAGCTAAGAGGCTCTATTTCTGGGGACAGTCGAGAAGGAAAGCTCTGGTCTGCTCACGCTCTCTCTTATCCCTTTACTTCTCCTCCAAATGCTCTCAATTTGGCCTAACGCATAACTAGAAATTTGTTTGGTGTTTTAGAAGGAGGATGGGTCACTGAAGCCAGAAGATGCTTCTGGCCGTTGCTCTGGACTTGACATTCTCTTGAGAATTAAAACATCACAGAAAAAGAAGTCCCCTTTAGTCAAACACGATCCTAACTGTGACCCCATCCAGACTTTCGTACTGGCCGACGGATGTTCCAAGTGAGCTGTTACTGAAAAAGCAGCAATTGTGGGGCAGAAGCCCAGCTAGGGAAAGGCCTAGAAACTTCTGGATTTATGGGTTGGGCATAGGCATGGCACGTGATGAGGGCCCTGTGCTCATCAGCCTCAGAGGGGTGGTCACGAGAAGGAATAGCAGCCTCCCACCGGTTGTCTCGAAGGACAAAACAAATACATCAGGCCCCTGCTGAGTGCCCGCCCCTCCAGTCTAGGTGGGCCGTGGCCACCCTGTCATCCATCACCAATGGACTATGCCACCCCGTGGACACGTCTGGCGAGGGAAAACTCTTCAGTGTGCGCTGTGGGGGAAGACCCCGTCCCAGTCTTAAACTTGGAGTGCACGGTCTAGAAAAGTCCGCAGAATGGCGTCCTCTGTTCAGCAGGGACGAGGTGTTCTTAGCTGTCAAGCAGACACGCGTGGCCCTGTCACAGTCTGTGGGTCAGGCGCTAGGTCAGCCCTGGGGGAGCCACGTGAGGAAGGCAGGATGGGGCGCCAACCCCAGGCAGGCAGCGTGGCCGCGGGAAATTGAAAACGTCTGTGGGAGACGCATGAGCCTCTGTCTGGCTGAGGGACGCTGCCGCCTTCCTAACGCTTTTCCTCTGGAAGGCACTTCCTTGGCTGCTTCTCAACCAGTTTACATTCCCGAGGTGACTTTCCAAGCAGGAAGAATCTCCCTGCGTCCGTTTTCTTCCCCGTGATTTGCTGTGGAGTCGCTTCTTTCCGTCAGAAGTAGGATTCAGGGCTGAAAGGTTGCGAATGAGAGAGAAAGGAATGAGATCTTTCTCAAGAGTGGACCCCACACACTGGAGGAAACCCCCCTGGAGCTCGTCTTGGCAGATGAAGGGGGCAGTTAGAGTGTGTGACCTGGCCGGTAAGGGGTAGTGCGTCCTGCAGACACTTGTCACGGGCTCGGCTGCCCGAGGGTGCCACACTGAGTGGCGACAGTTGTCACCGGGGAGGCCCACGGCTGAGATGGGTCTAGTGTTGGGCGATGCCGTCCACAGACCTGGCTCCTTTGCCAGCCCATCCCCAGGGCAGACGAGCCTGGCTGGGGGACTGCACTCTGCGGGCCATTCTCCTGGTGGCCTCCAGGACCTCTCTTCTCAGAAAGCCCTCATCGCGGTGTCCCACCAGCAGCGAGTCAGTGCTGAGCACAGGGAGCAAAGGAACAAGGAGCACTCCCTCCAGCGAGCTTGGAGCCTGGGGGTAGAAGCTCGGCAGGTGTGAGAACACGCCCAGGTCCCACCAAAGTGTGCACAGGCAGCCAGCCGTCCAGGCTCGCGGTTGGAACTGGTTGTGTGTTCTGCAGAGTTTCCTTCTCAATGCGCTATCCTAGGGGGGCGGGGGGGCGCGATGCCCAGAGCCCAGGAAGGCTGGACAGAGCCTTCCAGACCCAGCCGATGTCAGGGTCAGCCTGGGGCTTCCCAGGCTGCCCTCGAGGGGGCTGGGGGTCTGCAGGTTGAAGGAACCTTCCAGCCTGGCGTGGAAACCCCGCAGGAGGAGGCGGGCCTTGAGGGGTCTCTGATATAAGGGCGGGTGTGATTTGGTGGCATGAAAATGCAGGATAGTGTTTCAGAGGAAGGAGGGAAGAAGCTTGGCTGGGGATGACAACACCCCCACCATCCAGGGTGTCGCTGCGGCCTCCGGCTGGGGGCAGCCACTGTCATCCCGGGTCTGGGGGGGCCTTGGTCAAGGTCCCCAGCCATGAACAGGAGACGCCTGGGCCCCCCCAGGGCTGCCACTCAGCTGTCCCTCAGATCTCAGAAGCCCCCCTCCCGGACCCTCGCTGACTCAGGGACCCACAGCGAGTTCACACCGTCACTGTCACGGGGAGGCAGCCACTGACTGTTAAAGTTATTATTGCCAAACCCTGGGACGAGGACCTCCTTTTAGATGAATTATATTTGGATTATATGAGTTTTAAATCAAGAAACACAAATGATCCAGGCTGATTTAGCCTAAGGTGGTGGCCGGCCGAGGGCTGGCGTAACACCAAAGCTGGGACCTGCAGGACAGGGCAGGGCTCGGCTCGAACCACCACTTCACGGGATGGGTCCCTTCTCCAGAAGTTTCTCTAACTTATTGTGGCAGATGCTTCTAGCAGGGGTCCTGCTTGGACCGCTGTTTCTTTCAGTGTTCCCGACCCCCATCGCCGCCTTGCTGACCCCACCCCAGCTCCTGGCGGGAAGGCCCACACTCGACTGTCTGCCTGCCTGCTGAGCCCTGACCCCCCCAACAACCCCCGTGCCCCCCGCCACCTTCCCGGCTCATCAAGGGCAGCGCCATCCTTCCCGGTGCTCATCCTTGCTCCCCTCCTCCTCCCACGCCCCACCTCCTGACTCTCCTTGATGTCACCTTCAGAACAATCCAGAATCACACCACTTCTCCCACCACCACCACCACCACAGCCACAGCCCCCACAGCATCGTCTCTCCCTCCGGTCACAGCCCTCCAGTGCCCCCATCACACTCCAAGTAGAAGCCAACGTCATCGAAACAGCCCACCAGGCCCTGTACGACCTGCCCCGTCCCCTCCCCGCCCTCCCTCCTCCCTCTCTCCCGCTCACTCCCTCTGCTCCAGCCACACGGGCTCCTCGCTGTTCCTCCAACATGCCATCCTGGTCCTGCCCCAGGGCCTTTGCACAGGCTGTGCCCTCTGCCTGGAACACCTCCCCATCACCCCCCTTGGCTCCTTCACGTCTTACTCATTTGTCACTTTCTCAGTGAGCCTTCCCTGACACCTCACCCCCGCCCCAATTTAAAATTGCAGTTTCCCCTCCAGCCCCCTCCACGCTGGAGTGCCCAGTCCCTTTCCTGGCTTTCCCTCATAGCCCCTAACACCATCTCTCCTTCTGTGCATGTTACTTATTTATCGTGGCTCTCTCCTCATGAGACTGGACACTTCCAGAGGGGGCCTTTGTCTGTTTCATTCACTTTTGTAGCCCCAGAACCCAGAACAGGGGCTCTCAATCAGTATCAGATGGATGGATGAAAAGGGGGTGTTCAGAGTTCAGTTACATCGACACAGCAAACACCGGAGCTCAGAGGAGCTGCCAGGCAGCTAGAATAATCTAGCCCCGCCAGACTCGAACTCGCCACCGCCAATCAGGAGCCAAAGTCACACACATTTGCCCCAAACAGTGGAATCAAAAATCCTAGAGGACAGAGGGGGCTGGGCGGAGTGGGCGCGACTCTGGCCTTCGAGACCCCGCCCCCCATTTGTAGTTAGGACATGTGTCCAAGGGGCCTGTGCCACCAGAGAGCCCAGAACCACCGGGGGTGTTGGTGTTTGGGTTTTTTCCCCCTTAAAAGGAAGAATTTGATCCGTTTCGTTAAGAGTGCAGTCCTGACAGATCACAAATGTGGATAAGTGCGTAGCTTTTCCTGGAAAGAGTTCTCTTTATTTGTTTTTGTTGTTGACATAGAAATAGTGCAAATGTCAGCAGACAAGCAGCCCTGGGGGTCTACTGGTTGAGATCTGGGGTTTACTGACGTGGTCAAGGTTCGTGTCCCCGTCAGGGAACCACCTCACCCCTCTGTGGTTGTCACACTGGCGGCTGCGTGTTGCTGTGATGCTGAAAGTTCTGCCACCACAATTTCAGATACCAGCAGGGTCCCCCATGGTGGGCAGGTTTCAGTGGAGCTTCCAGACTAGACAGACTAGGAAGAAGGACCTGGACACCCACTTCCAAAAAAATTGGCCATGAAAACCCTAAGAATAGCAGCAGAGCGTCGTCTGATAGAGCGAAGGGGAGAGGACGGTGCGAAAAGACCGGGCAGCTTCCGCTCTGCTGTGCACAGGGTCCTAGGAGTCGGAGTCCACTCGACGGCACTAACAAATCAGCAGGCACCGCTCACTGCAGAATCGCCCAGAACCAAAGGTGATCTTGTCTGCCCTCACGAAGGGCATGAAGGTCCCTGGGGCCGAGCAGTTTGCAGGGGGCCACGTGGGCGCTGTGTGGCAGGGAGAGACTGGAACCTCGCGTCCAGCTCAGTTTCTCTAACGTGCGGTGCTGCCTCGTGTCGGACGCCCTGCCCGAGCCACTCAAGCCCACTGGTGAGGTGTCGGCCTCGGTCCTCATCCACCTCTGATCAGTTTCCCTTCCGGGTGACCCCTCAATGCCCCCGACAGAGGAAGTGTCGCCAGTGATTCTTTTGGAGGCCGCTGGTCGTGTCAGTTCCCTCCGTAGTTACTTAATATCAGGATGATGTGGATGCCAATATCAACATAATTACCCAAAGAAGTCACTGTTAATTTAAACAACACGGGGGCTGGGGTCAGTTAATCGATCATCCTTCCCAAACCTTTTTTTTTTACCTGTGAGCCAGTTTGTCCTGGTGGTGGGCGGGTGTTAGCCTCCATCCTCAGGACCGGGTCCAGTGCCCCCTCCAGCCCGCCACCCACAGCATCTGGCCTCACCTTCGCAGCCTGAGGGTCCTTGGCATCACGTGGCTCCTGCCCTTGAGGCGTTTGGCTCCTGGTCCCAGCTTCTCCTGCCCACGGGGGATTCCCTAAGAAGAAGCGCCCTGCGCCCCCAGCCTTGGGGAGACAGAAGGAGGAGAAGCTCCATTTCTGCACCCGGAGCTCTCGGCTCCCCACACACTGGGGTCCCCTCTGCTCTTCGGGACCCCTTCCCTCGTCAGTGTTTACTGAGGCATCTTCAGGATCCTGGGGGTGCAAACGCGGACAGACCCAGCTCTGTCTCCGCCCCCTGGAGCTCTGGTTCCAGCGGGGAGACACGCAGTGAATAAATAAATGTGCATGACAACCCCAGATGCAAAAGGGCTGGGAAAAAGCCTCGGGGCTCACGGGCCCCCCCAAATACAGCCCTTCCTCACCTGGATCCTGAGCCAATGAAAATAGGATGAAAGGGGTGGCAGACAGAGAACCCCGTTATCCCGTCATGGCTGGGACAGCCGATGCTGGACGTGCCTCGTAGCCACAGGCAGCGGGCTTCCTGATGGGACTTCAGCGCGGAGCAGAGCCTCATGCCCTCTTCCTAAGAGAAAGGGGTAGCGGGGGGCTGTGCTACCCACGTTCTCCCTCCAGACCTCCCCAGCCTCCCAGAGCTAAGGCGGTGGGGGGTGGGGAGGTGGATACGCCCCCAGGGCTCAGAGGTCACTGTTGAAATGATTAAGCTACTTACTAACATCGTGTTGAAGGATTCGGTTCATAGCATCAGAGAGAGAGGTCAGGGGTGAGGGGTCCGAGCCCTGGGCCTCGATTCCAGCCCTTACACCACCCTTCCTCCCCCTCAGCTCCTGTCTGCGAGCAGTGCCCACGTGTGGTAACCCCTCTCCGCGCTTCCCCCTGGAGACCCAATCCTCGGCTCCTAGGTGCCAGGTTGACACATCTGGTCCTCACCTCTGCCCTGAATGCCAGCCCAGCACCTAACCACCTCCTCTCAACAGCAGGAGCCATCACCCCACTCTTTGATGCCCTGTGTCTGCCTTTCTCTTAAAGGACCCTCTGCTTTGTCAGTCCCCCAGGTGCCACTTACCTGGATCTTTGACATGGTCCCCCACCTTCATCCAGCCCGAGCCCACCCCCTGCCTCTGAAACTCTCCTTGCCCCAGCAGCTGTGCCCCAGTTGGCCCCACCAGCCGCCCCTCACTCAGGCCCCAGGGAGGAAAGGAAGGAGGGTCAGGGGTTCACCTTAAAACGGTCCAGGACGGGCAGGAGGCAGTGGGTGGGGCTCAGATGGAATAAAATTGGCCCCAGCTGATGACTGTTGAAGCTGGGGTCGTTAGACTGTTCTCTCTACCTCTGTGCACATTGGAACCTTTCCAGAATAAAACTATTTTTTAAAAAGGAGACGCAGGCCGACATCCCAACTTGCATGCTATGTCTGGGTGGGGCCGTGGGGGTGTGTGGAGTGTGGTGCATGCACCGGGGTGGGTGTAGGGGCAGATTTCCCAGGGGAGATGCTCACTCTTGTCTGGAAGGACATGGAGGGCATGGGAACGAACACCCAGGATGGCAGAGGGAGTGGGCACCCTCAAGGGCCCCTCAGAGCTCTGGACGGGGTGGCGGCTTAGATAGACACCCACCTCCCTCATCATCCATCCTGACCGGTGTCGGGACTTAGCTTTCCGTGTGGACGGCCCCTACCCTCTGACTCGATGCTGACCTCTGGGGGTCAGCAACCTTGGCTCCAGATTCTTTCAGCCTGCCTTGTGGCCTGAGCACAAAACCCGGCACATAAGCCTTTTAAGCATCTTATTCAGATCTGAGCAGATCCTGGTCCATCTTGTCAGTTACCCCTGCGTCATGCAGGGCGCAGTGCTGGCGGGTCCCATCGAGTCCTCTTGAGTCTTCCTCTGTCTCTCTGCCTCAGAATTGATCTCCATCCCCGTAGACTTAGGAAACGTTTGGTGTTTAAACGGCACGTGGGACGTGTGGGTGTCCAAATGATTATGGAGACGGAATCTAAGAGGTCTCCATCACACACAGGTTTTTCTCAATTAAAGGGACCTGAAAACCAGGCTGAATAAATAAACGAGTGAAAAGAAGCTATTAACATGCCCAGAATCTCTTGAACCCAAATCCGTGACGGTAGAGATGAATTTCCTCATCATATGGTGGGGGGGAAGCGTTAATGAGTCCGTGGGAGCATTTTGGCGGTGTTTCGGGATTTTGACAGACGCACACGTGTCCTTCCTCCAGCTCCAATGGCTCCTAGATAACTACGAGACGGCTGAGGGCGTGAGCCTGCCCCGAAGCTCTCTGTACAACCATTACCTCCGGCACTGCCAGGAGCACAAGTTGGACCCCGTGAACGCCGCCTCCTTCGGGAAACTCATCCGCTCCGTGTTTATGGGCCTGCGGACGCGACGGCTGGGCACCAGGTGGGTACCGGGGAGTGTCTGAAGGCCCCCCACGCTCCCCTCCGTCCTCTGTCTTCCTTTAGACAGAAATCGAGCTAGTGGAGAACGGGGGGCTTCCTCCTCGTGCCCACAAATCCCGACTCACACGCGTCTGGGGGAACTTGGAGCTGCTCTGAATTGGTGGCAGCCTTGGCCTGGCCGGGGCCGAGGTGTTGGCTGTGGTCTTGTCTTCTCCCAGTGATGGGACACAGGGATTCCCTTCGGCTCTCTCTCTTTGCTGGAAATTTTCCCTAATAACAGGTTTTATAAAGAGCTGCCTCTGGATTATCTAATTGAGCTGGATTTACCAATTCTGGATGCTTTCTGCCATGCCTGGACCAATCCACTGTGGCCTGCTCTTGCCCTACAGCAGCCAGGGAATATCATGTGTGTAACTGACCATAGGCAATAAGGCAAACGCCCTCTCACCAGAAAAAAACGGCCACGCTCTAGGCACAGTGGGTGGCCTTGAGCGCATGTCAGGCTGTTTCTTGCTGTGTTGTGATGTGAGCCAGGCTGGGATCAGTGATGTCACACACACAGTGGGGGTCAGGGTTCACACGTGAGTCTCAGAAGCACACACCCTGGCCAACTTTAAATGACAGCAAGGCCACAAGCATGCGCGAGTCTCTCGTTCTCTGCCACCTTTGGATCCTTACAGAGAACGTCCTTAACAGATGGAGAGAGGAGGAAGAGAAGGGAGGAGAAAGGAGAGGGAACCCTGGTCTCTGGGGACACGGCCCCCCTGCCGTTGGGACCTCGCCAGGAGGCTCACCCAAGGCCTCCACCTTCAGGGTGTCCGGATGCTGGCGTCAGGATTCGGGCTTCCCTCCCCAGCATCCCCTCCTTCGAGCACCAGCCAAGCTCACCCCTCATCTAGAAAGGGCCCAGGCTCCTCCGCTCGTCCCTGCTGCCAGCTCAGAAATGGCAGCCCCCGAGCTGGGACGTGTGGACAGTGGCGTGTCTGTCCTTCCGGCTTTTCTCCCAAGGAGCCGCCTCTGACCTATTAGCTACAGTATTTAAAGCCCATTAATCATCATTTCTCCCTTAATAAACTAAGGTAGTGTTTCTCGAACTGTGCCGTTTGCAAATCACGTTATTAGAGGGTTGAAGGGGGGAGGGGGAAAGATTATCATCATCATCATCATCATCATCATCATCATCATCATCATCATCATCATCAGGCCATGCTAAGATAAACAAAGCTGAACTGGTTTTCTTGCTGCAGGACTTCTCAGAGGCTTTATCGTACTAAATGCAAAAGGCGGATCTCCCAGAGGGGGAGGCTGTGTGCAGAATTTCCTAAACCACAGAACAGCCCATGAACATTTTTCACACGGTTCGGGGGACACTGAAGCCAAGTGCTCAAAAGGCCAGGGCAGAGCACTTGTCTTGTGGTTCAGGAGTTCCGCAGAGAGCTGACCCCTGGTGTTTGGTTTCTAGGGGCAACTCCAAGTATCATTACTATGGGATCCGTCTGAAGCCAGACTCGCCCCTGAACCGGCTGCAGGAGGACACGCAGTACATGGCTATGCGGCAGCAGCCCATGCACCAGAAGCCCAGGTGGGGACCTGGCCGAGGACAGCGACTTCCCCACCCGACGGGGGCTGGGTCTGGGTTTCACCAGGGAAGACGTGATGCTTGGGGGAATGAGCCAGACACAGAAGGACGGATACTGTGTGATCCACTCACAGGAGGTCCCTAGAGGAGTCACAGCCACAGAGACAGAAAGGAGATGGTGGGGCCAGGGGCTGGGGGAGGGCATGGGGAGTCAGTTTGGGAAGAGGAGAAAGTTCTGGAGATGAATTGTGGGGATGGTTGCACATCGATGTGAATGTGCTTAATGCCACTGAGCTGTGCACTTAAAAATGGTTAAGATGGTCAATTTTGTGTTATGTGTATTTGACCACAATTTTTTAAAATTTATACGCACACATACCCCCCAAACCAAATCCCGCTCAGCCCTCTCCCTACCCCTTGGGCCCCTTCTGGGCAGTGCTGCTGGGGCCTCATGGTGGCACCTGTGTCCCCTGCCCAGGTACCGGCCAGCCCAGAAGACGGACAGCCTCGGAGACAGCGGCTCACACAGCAGCCTGCACAGCACGCCCGAGCAGGCCATGGCCGCCCAGAGCCAGCACCACCAGCAGTACATAGGTGAGCCCCTGACCCTGGTTCAGGGCCTGCTGTCAGTGTTCAGGGCCCACTCGGCTCTTCTGGGTGCTCAGAGGTGTCAACACCATAGCAGCATCTAAAGGGATGCCTTAAACAGTTTTCTCGCAGGGCACCTTTTCAATTACATAGAAAGTTCTAGATCAACCTTCTTTGTGGCATCTCTGAGATTTTAGAATAATCAGCATATGCCCCCAAAATTAATGTGACCATCAGAAAAATCAGTAAGTAAAATGAAATGCCCATCAGAAAGTCCAGATGTCGTATTTTAAAACCTTGAGAACCCTCCTGGTTCTCTTCCTTGCTTGCCTGGAACATTCTGGATGCTCAGCTCTCCCTAAACTGCGTCTCTCCCCTCCCGGTGCCCAGACACAGGGCAGCCTGGCCCTCTGCTGTGGGAGCCGCTCCAGAGAGCATCCTAATTCAGAGCCTGCCACCCGGACCCACCCACGGAGGGTCGCTGGGACCCGTGTCATTAGGCTCACACACACTGGAGACACTTGGCGGCCTTCGTGTATTTTTAGTGTGTTCTTTGAGAATACAGCCCTCCTGGGTTGGGTCTTCTGGAAAGGTCGTCAGGCCTTCCCCTGGGCAGCCCCACGCCGGGTGACGGGAGCGCTTGCTGTAGGCGGGGCCCCGCACTCAGGGCTCCATCTGTATCCACATGTTTAATATCGCCAGGAGGTGACGATGTCCCCATTCTGTATCTGAGAAATCGGAAGCTTACAGAAATTGTGCGACTGTGTGGGGAAGCCAGGACTCGGCCCCTAGGCTGCTAAGTGACAACACCAGTGCGTCCAGCCAGCGTCCCCTAGGCCGCCTACTGCGTGGGCCCCCCCACCCCCTGCGGCTCTAACTGCCCGTTGTCTCCCCCAGATGTCTCCCACGTCTTCCCAGAGTTTCCAGCACCTGACCTGGGCAGTGTCTTACTGCAGGATGGCATCACACTGCATGACGTCACGGCCCTGCAGCTGGTCTACCGGCGGCACTGTGAGGTGACTGCCCCCTCTAAGGCAGCCCCGGGACCACCCTGAGCCTCAGCCTGGGCGCTTCAGTGGGTGCCTCGGTGCCCCCCATGCCCGGGTGCAGAGGCGAGCATGCCTCCCCAGGCAGGGCGGTCAGCTTCCATAACGCCAAACCTCAGACATCACCAGGTGTCCTGGGCGACATGGAGGGGACAGGCGCGGCCCCTCCTCCTCTAGCCCAAGAGCAGAGGAATGTCGGCTCTCTGAACCATGGCCCCTCCGTCCACTTCCATCCCCTCTGTGGTCTCTCTGGATTTCAGAAGACCCCACTGTGTGTGTTTAATGGCTGTTTTTATCCCTAGGCAACCCTAGATGTCGTGATGAACCTCCAGTTTCACTACATCGAGAAGCTCTGGCTTTCCTTCTGGAATTCGAAAGCCTCATCCGGCGACGGCCCCACCTCCCTACCTGCCAGGTAACTGCCCACCGCCCCCCCAGCCAGGCCACACCCTGTGGCTCACAGGACCCGAGTTTAACCTGCAGACTGTCGCCCACTGATACCCACACTGTGACCCACAGACAAATGGGTCAACTCTCCAAGAATTGGCGCCCAGACGCCTCTTATACGTGTATGTCGTTTTTATGCTCCTGAGCGCTGATTGTAATTCTATCGACCGTCCACTTGTTTCAGAATGGGGGATTCTGCAATGGGGGATTTGAGAGGTGACCACGTGGGTTTGCCCCCTTCCCTCGGGTGCAGCCCTGCAGCTGCGTGTCTGGTTATCCCACGACCACGGGCCCTCCTGCCGCTCCAAGGCCTCGGCCGGGGCAGCCAGACGCCAGGCCAAGGCTCACCTTGTGTCCCCCACTCCCCGACAGTGACGAAGAACCCGAAAGCGCCGTCCTCCCGAAGGACAAGCTGGTGTCCCTGTGTAAATGCGACCCCATCCTCAAGTGGATGAGGAACTGCGACCACATCCTGTACCAGGCCCTGGTGGAGATCCTCATCCCCGACGTGCTGCGGCCCGTGCCCAGTAAGCAGTGGGCGGCCCGCCTTCTTCCTTCCTTCCTCTCCCCGTGCACCCGCCGGGTCCCTCTCAGACTCGGGCACAGGGTCCAAAGGGGGGGCAGCAGCTCAGTTGCCCCAGAGGATGTTGGCTCTCGCCTGCGTGTTTTCCCCGTTACTGACCCAGAAAGAGGGCGAGGGCAGGGCAGCTCGTGGCTCTGGGGAGGTCGCTGCCCCCCGGGCCTGGGCCGGGCTCCGGGCTTCAGGGGATGTGCTGCTGCCCAGCGCTGGGCGGTCCCGGGTGACATCCCCCTCTCCAAGCTCCTCTTGGGCCCCAATGTCCCCAGAGGAGACTCGCAGGGGGTGGGCGGGGCCCAGGTCACAGGACAGCCCTCCCCCTGCCTGTGGCATCTGCTGGAAACCTTGGGATGGGCTGAATCGGGTTTTAACCAACTTCCCCGGGTTGATTGGACACTACTCCCTGCTTCCTCCCGACACTGAGAGGCTTCGGCATCAAAGGGTGGATTTTCCAGACTTTTCCCCAAACTCCAGCATCCTTAATTGAGGAAAGGAGAAAAACGGAGTCGTGTGCCTTGATGGCTACACCCGTCTGGGGCTGACATGTGCCATGGGGACCTTCCCACGGGGTCTGCCCCCACGCCTCTGGGACCGCCTGCTCAGCCTCCAGTGGTGATGACCACGCCCTCCACCAGGGGGCGTCCGCCCTGCCAGCCCCTGACACACAGGCTCCCTGGGCTCCCCGTGTCCTGACAGAATCCTGGGGGTGGAAGTGTTGCCCCACGTGGAGGACGACGAAGCTGTGCACTGAGGCCTCCTGTAATAAATGACGGTTCCGCCTGGCAGGTGACTGTCAACACGTGTGCCTGCCAGCCTTCGGGAAAGCTCGCTCTTTCTTAATGAACCAATCTGCTGCTTTCATGCCAGAAAAAGGGAAGCAGCAAAAAGATTGCACTTCTCCTTGGCCTCACCTGCTGGAAAACTGCTCAGCCCCTCCGCACGGCTGACATCGGAGCTCGATCATGCTCCGGGGGGGCCGTCCTGGGCGCTGTGGGGGGTGAGCAGCATCCCTGGCCCCACCCACTCGACGCAGGAGCTCCCCCAGTGTGACAGCCACAGATGTCCCCAGACAAAAATGTCTCCCGTTCATATCATGGTTTGTATCCCCCAGGTACCCTGACACAGGCCATCCGGAATTTTGCCAAGAGCTTGGAAGGCTGGCTGACGAACGCCATGAGCGACTTCCCGCAGCAGGTCATCCAGACCAAGGTAACTGTGGGAGTCAGGGTCTGGGCCCCCAGGCCATGCTGGTCACCCGGAGCAGGGGTCGTGGCCCGGGGACCCCTCCCGCCCTGCTGTGCTGTAAAGGGGGGCACCTGTCCCTCTGCTCTAGGGAATTTGAGGACCGCAGGCCCCCAGAGAAAGCAGGCTCCCGTACATCCTGAGGATGAGTGGTCCTCTCAGGAAGCCCCGAGATGCTGTTGATGTAGGACAGGGGCTGGCAGGGTGGGGCACTACGGAAGAGGCCACTTGCTGTGATACATTTGGGTCGATTCAGAACAGATGGAACGTTCCTATGCTCATCATTGGAGGGGAATTTAATCTCCTACCCCTCACCTTTATTACAATGTATTGGTCACAAATCAGAATTTAAAACGTGGAGATTTGACCCACATGTGAAAAAGAGAATGATGGTCTACCACTCTGGAGAGCTTCTCAAAGAGCTGCTATGTGGGCCGGCCCCGTGGCTTAGCGGTTAAGTGCACGCGCTCTGCTGCTGGCGGCCCGGCTTCGGATCCCGGGCGTGCACCGACGCACCACTTCTCCGGCCATGCTGAGGCCACGTCCCACATACAGCAACTAGAAGGATGTGCAGCTATGACACACAACTATCTACTGGGGCTTTGGGGAAAAAAAGGAGGAGGATTGGCAATAGATGTTAGCTCAGAGCCGGTCTTCCTCAACAAAAAGAGGAGGATTAGCATAGATGTTAGCTCAGGGCTGATCTTCCTCACAAAAAAAAATAATAATAATAATAAAAGAGCTGTTATGTACAGACGGGCCAGATTCCGGGCATCTGGTCTACCACCCACAGTCTGGACCTGATCTGTCAGGCCAGCGGTTCTCAAACTTCAGGGCGTATAAGAATTGCCCTGGTACTTGTTAAAAAGTGCAGATTCCCAGGCCATGCCCCCACAATGTCTGATCCAGTAGTGCCCAGGAATCTGTATTTTCACTGGTGCTGCAGAGAGCTAAAGCAGTTCTAGAAGTGGGGCATAAACACGCTGTCCCGAATTCTAACCCACCGACGCTGCGGCGTCTGCTGTAGATGGTGCATGATGCGTTGGTGACTCTGTGTCCTTCACCGATGCTCAGTCTCCGGGTCCTTGAGACTGTCAGAGAGGGGAGGGGGTCCCTCTTCCTGGCCAGAGTCACTCTTCCCTGCTCCCTTCCCCACCCCGTCCCTGAGTGCATGCACCCTCCAAGGAGAAGGGGGAACAGGCCTCCCGTGTGCGTGCGTGCAGGCAGCTCACCTGGCGTGCGTCCTCCGTCCAGGTCGGCGTGGTCAGCGCCTTCGCCCAGACTCTGCGGAGGTACACATCCCTCAACCACCTGGCGCAGGCGGCCCGGGCCGTGCTCCAGAACACGTCCCAGATCAACCAGATGCTCAGCGACCTCAACCGCGTGGATTTCGCCAACGTGCAGGTGGCTTTCCCCGACGCGGTCCCATGGCCTGGGACGGGCTCAGGGCCCCGGGCTGCAGAGCAGGGACGGCGTGCGCGTGACCCCCACCCCACTAGCCTCGCCTTCCACCCTCTAGAAAAAGGCACAAACCCACAAAATTCAGCCCACAGCAAAACCCACACCTCACCCAGCCGGGGCGCATGTTTCTGTTGCATGACTTGAAACAGGTTCAGGGGCGAAGGCCCCTGCGGCCCACCCAGGGACCCCAGGCCTCCTCTCCATGATCCCTCAGGTCCCCCTGGCATCCGGATTCTGGGGCGATACCTTGGTTCATTTTCTTTAACAATTTACCTTCCTGTTGCCATCTTCATGGGCTTAGGAAAATGCAGGCCAAAGGCAAACGGATCCTGCTTCTGTATTTACCTCTAGTTCAGGCCCTGAGTTTATCCACTCAATAAACAAGAGTGACCATTTACAACTTAAGCGACACAAAGACCTGGGGTAATCGGGCTTCTGGACGCAGGAGGCCTGGAGTTCGGTCCTTAGCAGCCAGTGGGTTGTAACCATGCTCAGCTGCAGCTGGAAAGGCCGGGCAGGAAGGTGTGTGTGCCCAACGTGTCTGGCGCTGGCGATGGCGGTGGGCAAGGTCGCCAGGGCTCCCACGCAGGCGCCGGGCGGGGCTGTCGCTGTCCTCGGTGCTGACCGGCCACCCACGCCCGCAGGAGCAAGCGTCGTGGGTGTGCCAGTGCGAGGAGAGCGTGGTGCAGCGGCTGGAGCAGGACTTCAAGCTGACCCTGCAGCAGCAGAGCTCGCTGGACCAGTGGGCCAGCTGGCTCGACAACGTGGTCACCCAGGTCCTCAAGGAGCACGCGGGCAGTCCCCGCTTCCCCAAGGCCGCCCGGCAGTTCCTGCTGAAGTGGTCCTTTTACAGGTAAGGCCCCGCTGGGCTTCCAGAGGACTCCTGGGGGGCCGGGGCTGGGGGCTCCAGAGGTCGTCCAGCCTGCTCAGCGGGCCTGCGGCAGTGGCTGGACCCACAAACGGGGGCGCAACCTGTGGGCCTCATCCTGGCAGGCGGGCTCCCAGGGGGCCCCCTGTGGCCTAAAACGAAGTGGGGGTTTCCAGAGGCAGAAATGGTCGTGGCGGGGCCTTCTGGGGAAATGCATTTCTGCTCCCTCGCAAAACCCACAAAGTGACGGTAAAGGAAGTTTCTAGAAGGCATAAAGCCCCAAGGATAAAGAACAGGAGCGCAGATGATGGCAGATGGGAGATGAGAACACGAGTTTGGGAAATGGAGTGAGCTGGTCAGTTAGGACAATGAGCCAGACTGGAAGCAATGGTCGGGCCTCAATTCACACACGGCCATGTGCGAGCAGGGGCCAGACAGGCTCCCGGGGGTCTGTCTGTCCCCACAGAGTGGGACCAGGCAAGGGTCAGGTGTATGCAGGTTTATATATCCAAAAGTTCTGTATGTAAATATACTATAATCACTCATAATTAGAGCCAGCCCTGGGGGTCTAGTGGTTGAGATTCGGGGCTCTCACCACCGCCCAGATGCGGGCACCCATCTGTGGTTGTCACACTGTGGCGGCTGCCGTGTTGCTGGGATGCTGAAAGTTGTGCCACTGGGACTTCAAATGCCAGCAGGGTCACCCCCCGTGGACAGGGTTCAGCAGAGCTTCCAGACTAGGAAGAAGGATCTGGGCACCACTTCTGAAAAAACTGGCCACGAAAACCCTCTGAATAGCAGCAGAGCATCGTCTGATAGAGCACCGGAAGGGGACAGATGGTGCAAAAAGACCGGGCAGGGCTCCACTCTGCTGTCCACAGGGTCCTGGGAGTCAGAATCCACTTGACGGCCCTAACAACAACAATCATAATTATATATTAACATATAGAAAGAGATTTCTTTCAAGGAACTGGCTCATGCGATCGTAGGGGCTGGCAAGTCTGAAATCTGTAGGGCAGCCTGGCAGCCAGAGACTCGCAGGCAGGAGCTGATCTGCGATCCGCAGGTGGAATTTCTTCTTCCTCAGGGAAACCTCCGTTTTGCTCTGAAGGCCTTTCAACTGATTAGACGAGGCCCACCCACGGTATCGAGGGTCATCTTTACTTAAAGTCAGGGGCTGGTAGATGCAAACCACACGCACAAAACACCTTCACAGCAACCCCTAGCCCAGTCTTTGCTTGAACGACTGGTCCGATAGCCTCGCCAAGTTGACACATAAAACTAACCATCACAGGGCCGGCTCCGTGGCTTAGCGGTTAAGTGCGCGCGCTCTGATGCTGGCGGACCGGGTTCGGATCCCGGGCAAGCCCCAAAGCACCACTTCTCTGTCCAACCCGAGGCCGAGTCCCACGTACAGCAACTAGAAGGATGTGAACCTATGACATACAACTATCTACTGGGGCTTTGGGGGGAAAAAAATGAATAAAT